TCTTATCATATGAAATCATACATGTAAGCTTACGTTAGAGCTTTAGTGACTCATGAAAACTTCATACTTAAATATAATTACTTAATATAGGAAATTTCTCATAAAAATACTATTTAACATAATTACTTAACATAATTACACACCGTTAAAATACTATTTAAGATTTGAAAATATGTTTCAGGAAAATAATTTATTTTCTTTCATTAAATCTCAAATTAATACTGATAAATTTTGGTGGTCATAGTAATAGCAGTGGTGATCGTGACTAGTGCATGGTGATTATTGATGATTGACGATGATACCTACCCATAAATCAAAGTATTAACATTATATAAATCTGTGTTTATAAAGTTATAATTTCACTTTTCAAAAAATATTTTTCTTTTTGAAAAATTTTAAAATGACTTATAATTATTTTATGACAATAAACTTAGAAATGTTTTTATCTTACAAAGTTGTCTAAAAACTTCCAAGTATACAACTTTGTATATATGAAATAATTCAAAAAACTATATTTTTTAAACAATTCTTACAGTTAGTAATTCTTTCATTTTCAAATTGTAGCATTAATTAACATTTAATTATATTTTCAAAAAAAAAACATTTAATTATCAATTACACAAATCTTTAAAAATTAAAACGTTTTAATAATAGTGGGACTAATGAGCAACCAAAATACATATAATTCACAAATGCCATCAAAATTAGCAACCAAAATGTAAGGAGGGCATTTGCAATTCAGATATGGATAACCGTCTTTACATTCAGGTGTTTGGGTTCGAGAGGGTGTATATCCAGAAAATGGATCCCCACTCTGTTGAAGCATCCGGGTTATGTCAGAATCCAGCAAAAACTCCACCTCCAAATCGTCGGCGATGAGGCAGTCGTCGAGGTTTCTATCGTCGCAACTGAAAGAGGTGTTTCTACTGCTGATCTTGTAATCAAGAAATGCAGCTCTGCAACTATTATTGGTGCTGGAAAATATCAACAGCACCAACAATAATACAAGAAGAGTATTATTATAATTAACACCCATTTCTTTTCCAACACTTATCCTCTCTCCCCTCCTTTCTTGTCACCTTACAATCAATATGTTTAGAGATGGTCATATTACGGTTCCGGGAACCGGAACCGTCAGTTCGAACCGGTCCGGAACCATAACCGGAACCGGTGAGAACCGAAACCGGGCTGAACCGGAACCGAAACCGGAGAATTCCGGTTCGGTTCCAGTTCCAAATTTTCTGGAATCGGAACCGGCGGTTCCTGAGAACCGGTCGGAACTGGACTGGAACCGCCGGTTCCCCGGCCCGTTCGAACCGGCAGTTCTAGCCAAACTGTCAGGTTTTTTTTTTTTTTTGTTTTTTTTTTTTTTTTAAATTTTGTTGTGAAATCTCTTAATTATGTTCAAGTCTTTTAAAAAAAATAATTTAATTTAAGTATTTTTTTTAATTTTTAGGTGTATCTTTTAAGTTTTTATGTTCAAATATTTTTTTGTATAGCCAGTCTTCAAATTTAAAATTTATGTTCAAACTTTTTTAAACAAAAAATAAAGTTTCATTGAAAATTTTTTTTTAAAAAAAATAATTATGTTCAAGTCTTTTAAAAAGTCTTTAAAAAAAATAAATTTAATTAAAGTATTTTTTAATTTTTTAGGTGTATCTTTTAATTTTTTATGTTCAAATATATATATTTTTTAAAACCAGTCTTCAAAATTTAAAATTATGGGATTCACCAGAAAACCGATCGGAACCATCGGTTTGGTCACCGTACCGAAACCGGAACCAGAACCGGAACCAAAACCAAAATTTTTCGGTTCGATTCCAGTTTCAGTTTTTTGGAAATCGTAACCACCGTTCCGGAACTGTGGCCACCCCTAAATATGTATATATATAGGCTCATGGAGGAGCGGACTTACAAATATCAACCAATGCACTAAAACCTAGAAGTGAAATAATTGTTCTACAAGTTCTTTTTTTTTTTTTTTAAAAAAAAAGGGAAAAGGAAAATGCAATTATATTTTAGAAAATGTGGAAAATAATTATCTCATTCACGATTAAAATATGTTTATTAAATTCAAAATTAAATTAATGAAAACAAATATAAAAATTGACCTGGTTCAATTAAGAATTTTAATGCACATTTATACTTGAATTTTATTCAAATCAATTTAAAAAATTTGATTCTTAATAAATTTTTTTTTTTTGATTTATTAACAATTTTTAGCTTAATTTAGGATATTAGGGTTCCTTAAATTTTAGGATATAGGGTTCCTTAAATATAATGGTTAGAAGATAGAATTTGGCGTTGAAATTCCTAAATGCCATTATCTTAAATTCTATACCTCTTATTGTTAACATAAATTAATTATTTAAAAGCTTTTTGTAAAGATGGTGAGAAGAGGTCCACCAAATTCATGCTTTATTCGAAAATCCAAATTGAAGGCTCAATTTTTATTTTTATTTTTATTTTTTTATTTTTATTTTTTGTCTTCAAATGAGTAAAAGCACAGTCCACAATCCACATGGTGCTATTTATATTTGCTATCCATTAATTAACTAAAAAGCAAAAGCAAAAGCAAATTCCACACTTACACATGAGTGCGTCAATTTTTTTTAATATTGCGAGATGCATTTTTGCCTCTTCACGCAATGATTGATGCTATTAGTGCTTCCCTTTCTTTTTGACTGCGTTGGGCCTTGTTTGGTTCACGACAATGAAATAATGAAAAAAATGGAACAGGTTTTTCGTCAAATAAAATATTTTTTTCACTTTTTACAACATTTGTGATTTATAAATTTAAAAAAAAATATCTATCATTTATTATAAAATGTTATATGTTTAGAAATTTAATCAAAGATTAAGGTTATAAAATTGTTATACAATTGCAAAAGAAGTGGTAGTGCTCATTCTTTGGAACTAAAAGAAAGCAAATGAAAAAGAAAAGCCATGGAATCGATCTGCCACTGTCACTGATGTTCCAACATTTCTTTTTGTAAAGTTGTCAGAAATTCTTTGCTTCTAAATAAAAAAATTTGAAAAATATGAAATTACTATTTTGTCATTTTGCAAAAATATACTAATTTTTCATCATGTTTTTCAACGGTTACCCTGCTTTGTAGTTGATTTTTATACTTTGGTGAACTTTGGTGAATATATAATATATATATACATAGGGACAATTCAAGTAGCTATACGATTAAATGTGAAATTCAAGAAAATACAAAGTCATTTTTAAGATTCAAGAGGCCATATAATACTTTTATAGATTATATATTTAAACTTGTCATAAAGTTAATTTTTAAATTTAGAGTACTAAAAAATTTTTTTGTCAAAATTCGAGAATTAAATTATGTATTCAGCCTATTTTTAACAGTTTTGTATTGTATATTTTCTATTTAATTAATAAAAAAACTACACATACAAAGAGAAATATTATCTGAATTAAAATTTTTATTTGTGAAAACTTGTGAAAGAAAATCCTAATTGGAAAAGAAAAATCGAGATTGGCTAAGGGAAGATAAGGTTTGTTCCCCATGAGCGTGATTCATGTGAAATATACTTCGTTTGGCAACTTTAATAAAGTTACTTTAAAAATACTTTATCCCTTCGAAAAAAAATTTATTTAATTAAAGAGAAAACAAAATCAAGGTCATCTTATTTCATAAAAAAAAAAAAAAAGTAACATATGACAATAAACTAATAATTATTTTTAAAAGTATAAATATCAGCATGCAGAGCCTATTTCAAAGGTGCTCTCTTCATTCTTTATCCTAGTTTTCTTTTTTAGAAAATTTTGTGTTTTTTACTTTTTTTCCCTTATTTTTTTATGTTTTTTGATTTGTCAACGTAATTATTTTTTAATTTAATATTTAATATATAACAATGATATTTGATAATTTATGAAATCAAAATTTATCCAATTATCCAACTTGACCCAGCCAAAAATATAACTTTTGAATTTATTAAATTTAAAAAAAAATTATGGCTATATCGACCTCTCTATATATAGAACATACAGTTCAATTTCTTCATACCCTAATTCATTCTTCATATATTCTCGAAAACCAAACTGATAACAAAAAAAAAAAAAAAAAAAAAAAAAAAAAAAAAAAAAAAAAAAGAAAAAAAAAAAAAATAATCTGTATTAAGCTTTTCTAACATTTATATTAAATAAAACTTTTTAAAAATAATACATATTGAAATAATATTTATTCTTAAATGTATATAATATATTATATACATACGCGGACGAAACGCAATAATTAACGACTAGTTAAAAAAAAAAAAAAAAAAAAAAAATAATCTGTATTCAAGCTTTTCTAACATTTATATTAAAAATAAAAACTTTTTAAAAATAATAACATAATTGATAATAATATTTATTTAAATGTATATATATATATATAACATACGCGGACGAAACGCAAAATAACGACTAGTTTAATAATGATATCAATTCAAATTCATTTAACTTAATTTAAATGCTAATTATTATTCAAAGGTGTCTTCTGTCTTAGGAATAAGCAGCAAAGAAGATAAAATGATGCATAAAAATAAGAAAACGAATGGAGATCTATGCTTGGCCCTATTAGATTATTTAAAATCACATATGTGGAAAGACTTAAAAGTTGTCTTCCAAAATACTTCTATGGGATCTATATGAGTTTACATGTGCAGGTTAAAACTCTAATCTCCTCCTGGACTGCGAGACAAATGGCAATCAATGATGTGAACACATGACTTAGCCTTTGACATATAGTACTTTTCTTAGGAGAGAAACACACACTAATACTAGTATTTATCAAAACCATAACAATCAAATTATGGCAAACAAATATCAAATCGTTCTTTCTCTGACGCTAATAGTATCGGTCAAATGTGTGTCTTGTCCGGTGTAATACTGCAAATTGAGTTTCAAGCTCCGACAATGCTCTCTTGATTTTTCTTTAAGTTTTTTCTAAGGGTTCCTTTGAAATCTTTAAAAAAATCAAGACAGTGCATAAACAAGTTGAATTCTGTCAAACAACCATCCTTTACTGGGAGCAAATACAGTAATACATGAGGGAGAAACACTTACAACTCACCATTGCAAAGCCAACGTAAATATTAATTAGAATAATACAAGGAACCACTTTGCTTTGTATACTGTAATATATACTGTTCTTTTGTTGCTTAATTAGCATCTAGGTCTGTAGACAGGGCATTTGCATCTATAAGATGGACTCTGACGACGGGTACATGTTGGTACTGCATCTCCAACGTTGCTTCCTCCTGTTGCTTCACTTACACTTTCTTTCTCCAGCAGAACTTCAGCTTTTTTACCTCCATTTTCATCTGAAGAAGCATTTAAATATAACAAATATCGCGAATTAACATGCCCAACTATTAATAAAAAGGAAAAATGTGGATATGTACAACCAATTGATGATAAAGAATTAACTGAAAGACTAGAAAATCATCAAATTGAAGAAATCAAAATTTTCTGCAAAATTTATAAAGAAACACAAAAGAATTTTTTATATTAGAACGTCAAAATTGTTTGCTTCAATCGTTTGAGAAGGAAATAGAAGCAATTTTTGCAAGTTTGTTTTCTTTTCTTACCGTTGTGAGCAAGCTCTCGAGCCACAGATGGAGAAGGAATGAGAAGCAAAGAAGAGAAAAGGATGCATACGATAAGAAAGTGAAAGGGCTTCATTTTTGCAGAATGGAGATCTCTAGTGCTGCATTCTTGGCCCCTTCAATTAGGTCTCTAATTTATTTATAGGACTGCATGTCAAAATTTTTGTTTATAAAAATACAAAAAAAAAAAAATTGTTTATGAAAATTTTGTAACTGTAAAACTATTAAAAAATCTATTGACTTATTTTTTTATACATATTCTAAATTATTAATATTTTTATCTATCATTTTTAAATGATTTTTATTTTAGTTGAAATTTGTAAGTTATATGTATTCAACAAATTGTTTCAAATAATTTAAAATTTGAAATTTTTAAATGCAAATAAATTGATTAAAAAATAATAACACAAAATAATTATAAAAAAAAGTATGTTGTGGTGTGACAATGACATGTGCATAATAATTGAAAATTGGGGTCCCATTTTTCCTTACTGATATTGATCTCCTCCTCCTCACTTCTTGGCTTTTGGAAAGTTATTCGATCATCGTTCATTTTAAAGGGCTGAGACAATCAACTATTGTATCACATACCTACCTTAATTTATTATTATTATTATTATTATTATTAATTGATATGAATCACCATTATAAGGGGAAAAAAAACAATTACCATAATTAATAATGTGAACACATAATTTAACTCTTGAAGTATGTTGTGTTATATGTTTAAAAAAGAAGGCAAGGGAAAAAAATAACATAAAATTCCCCCTCCTTGTCTTGAATTATGCTTCTAAAAATTAAACTTTGGATATTATTTTTTGAAAAATCTTTCCCGATTGGTTAGGTACATAAATAAATGGTTCTAAAATAAAATAATAATAATGAGCGAAGATATGTTTCTGAACATATATTAAATGTAATAATATAATTAATTGAGTCTTTTCTAAACATATATTTATTTGTATTTAGTTCTTAAATAAAAATTCTTCCTTACAAATTAAGAAAAAAAGCGAAGATAAGATTTGTTCTCAAAAAGTGTGATTTATGTGGAGCATACTTCATTTTGCAACTTTGATAAAGTTATCAATAAAAATAATTGATTAAATAGAAAGCAAAAGCAAGTTTATCTCTCTTTTTGGGAGATAGTACTTGTCGATATTTTAGAGCTCTTACAATATAAGTGATCTTCAATTTTATGGAGTAAATTAAATTTCTTTGCTATTTTACTCTATTCCCTGAATTCCAATTGATTCGCAAAAATAAAAGAAAGAAAAAAAAATAAAAGAGTAAGAAATATAGTCAATAATACTTTTTTATGAAATAATACTTTTTTAGCAAAATGAATCTGAAACAGTGTGGTCTAACAATTAAACGCATTAATCTCATGCTATTAATCAATAATAAAGTCAATAAAATCAGGGTGAAATGAATTATTCTTCTACTCAATTGTTAAACTAACAAAATATTTTAAAATGAATAAGTGTTCAAATTTTTAATTTTAAATATTGAATGATATTATCAAACAAAATAAATTAAAAAGGGGAAAAAAAAGAAGAATAAAAGAAGGAAGAATGTGTGTGCATGACATATGCATATGACTTGCGCGTACTCAAGTCAAGTGAATGTTACTACAACTCTGAAAAACGTAAAATCGATCAACATCATTCTTCAATGGAACTTCAATTTGCCTTTGTTATCCTATGAAAATAAACTTATTTAGCCTAATTCTATCAATTCCAAATGAATTTCATAATTTAAATTGTACAGTATTACCACTTTCATCTGAAGGCTAATCATTCACTCAAAAAAAAAAAATTTGTGAAGGCTAATAACAAGCTAGGTAGCTTCAAACCAGTAGTCGTGGCCCATTACATCGGAACAAACCCAAGCTCATGAGTGATGAAATTGTAACCCAAATCAAACCTTGGCCCAAGTTAACTTGAGATCCATGAATTGAAGATTTTAGAGCATTGGCAAGGCTACAGTATTTTTAAGAATTAAAAAAAAATGTAATTTAATTTTAATTTATTTTCAAAAAACGGAACTTAACCGATTTGCCACTGAACTCACAGAAGTAGGAATACTAAGACGCAATGGTGAGTATCTAAATACCAGTCGAGTCTCCTTACAAATAAGCAAGGCATGCAAAATAGACTCGTCCGCAGTTCCACAACGAATACAAATCGGATCAACTTCCACTCCTCTGTGAATCAAAGCCTCCTTAGATGGTAATAAATTATTAATTGCTCTATACGCAAAATGCTTCACCTTCGGAGGAATCTCCAACCTCCACATAAACCTGACACAATTGAGTTGCATTACCTGTACAAGAACCACCATCTTCATTATTGGAGAGAGCCTGCAGTGCACAAAAAAAAAAAAAACCTGTTTTTACTGTCTAAAGTCCAATCTTCGAACATGGCCAAGATAAACAATCCAAACCTCGCCGCGTAGATTAATTTTAATTGATATATATTATAATATGTTTAGTTATTCTTTTTAATGAATCTTTAATTTAATTGGTTATAATCTTACAAGTAATTTACTCTACGAAAAATAAATGAAATTTATTATTATTTATTTAATAAATATATCGTAAAATTTATTGTTTCATATATAAAATAGAAAATAAAACTGCCTATAAATATATATGTATAATATTGAAATATGATTATATAAGCAAACCATATAATAAATTAAAAAAAATTCTCTTATTCCCTAAAGGAAAGTGATCGTAAAATTAATTTTATATTTGTAGATTTTAGGAAAAAGTAAAAAAAAATTTAAAACTATAAATGATGTTAAAAAATATTAATATATTAATTATTATTAATATAATATGATAATTTATGAAAAGGATTATATACATAAATTAATAAAATATTTATATACAAAAATAAAATTACATTCACTTACGAACGGGTTTTATTAGTATAAACAAAACGTACTAAAAACAATTGGAGATAAAATCAAGAATGGTACCAATTTTGTCTTGTTTTTTGACTTTTTCTTTTTTAATAAAATCAAGAATGTGGAGATAAAAGAATTGATGTGCAATTGGACATCACCAAAGACAATTTAACTAAAATCATTTTACCCTTGTGCCTTCCTCCACAAACGACATCACATTGGCCACTCTCCACCAAAAGAATTAGAATTTCAAAAAAAAAAAAAAAGAATCATATATTTTTTGTCATTAAAATAAAAAACAAAATAATCTTGCTCTTGTTAGTTAATTATCTTTCTCATCGATTCAAGTCAATTTAAAAACTACTCTCTCTTACGAGAATATATAATTCAATTAGTATTCATGTGACATCCCGACCCGACAAAGCGATCTTAGGATGGCAGGCTAGCTAAGGTAGTGAAATACGGGACACATGAATGAATCGGATCATATATCGAAAAGGAGGAAACTAATCATTAGAGGGGCCTTTTGGTGGAATGGCTGAAGAATTAGAAGAACTTCAGGGTTAAGCATGCTTGCTTAACAGAAATCTCAGGATGGGTGACCTCCTGGTAAATTTCTCATTTCACCTACGGGACAAGACCGTGCGAGGACTACACTGAGGTGTAGGGCGTCCGTGAACTACACCAAAGCGGACAATTCCTTTGGTGATTAGAGTCGGGGCGTGGTGATTAGAGTCGGGGCGTGACAATTCAATTATAGATTGTTTTTACCAAATTATAGATTAGTTTATCAACAGACAACTGGATTAACGAAAATAAATTATATTTTCAAATAAATTTTATCTCTAAGTTAAAAAGTTGTAATTTAGAGTCGTTCTTAACGAGAGAATTTTACGAAGTACTATCTCAATGTGAACATAAAAGTACATAAGAAAAAAAAAATAAATTATAGAATATTTTTATTACAGTATAAAACATTAGGACTTTAATTTTCATAATTCTTTGATATTAATAATGATTTTATGTATTGAAAAGACCAAAGTTAAAGTTTGTCGTGCTTAAAAAATAATTTTGTGATTTCGCTTAATTATTGTTGTTGTGGTTAAATTTTTATTGTCGACAAAGTTAATTTTGGTATTTTAGTCTTTGGTGATTATAAAACAACCAAATTGTTGGTATTTTATTATAAATTGTTGGAAGTTAGAGAAAAGAAAAGAAAAGACATATTAAGCTAAAGACACAAAGGGAGAAACAAAAATTGTAATGAGATCAATATTGCATCATGTGCTGCTAACGCAGCTTATTGTCACTTAATAGACTTTTCTCTGTACCAAATCTCCAATCCAATCATGTGAAAGATAAGTGCCAAAGGAGAATACATTATTTCTAAACCTATTTCAATGGCACTTCCACCTTCACTTTAGGGTTTTAGACTTCTTGGTATATTTGGCGCCATGCATTTTTTCTCATAAGTGGGCTAGCCCATACAAATTTTAGCTACAAAATAAAAATAGTCTCCGTGATTCATAAAATTAGTGAAAATAATTATGATTTAAAGGATTTAAGCTCGAAATTTTCAATTCCTTACATAAATGAGAAGACTAACCAGACTACCACGTGATTGGCAATTCTAGAAAATATTTAATCATGAATTCGTGGCAGGGAAAATAGATTTTTTTTTTTCATATATATACATATAACTTGTGAATATGGCAATTGTGACTAAATAGAATACCGTTAAAATTATTTATTTTCGAATAATAATAATAATAATTTGTGCAAAATACATGTAAAAAATATCTCTATTTGATTTGATCTAAAAATATTAGTGATTCATAGTTCTTAAAAAAGATCTCAAAGCTAAACACCATGCCACGATTGTGATTTATAACATAAATAAAATTAAAAATATGAAATTCCAAATTAATTACTCCATCCATTCTATTTAAATAGCAACAAAAGGCATTTTACTTTGTTCTAATTTAGGTGATTATTTAGGATTTTGAGAATAT